AGAAGAGAGAGAGAGAGAGAGAGAGGTGGAGAATGATCGGCGATTTTTATTTTTATTTTATAGTTCTTGCGAATTTTCTTTTCCTCTCTTTTCTTTAGAATTCTTCTTCTTTCTCTTCTCTCTCTCTCTCTCTCTCTCTCTTTCTCTCTCTCGGTTTTCTCGCATTTTCGCTAGAAAGCTCGAGCATCGAATCGCGCTCAATGAACGAGCGGATCTTGGCCAGTTCCCCCGAAACTTCGTTCTACCTTCAAGCGCGCTTGCATCGCGCGTCATCGCTCACGGAAGCACTCGAATATTCTCTCCATAGAGTCGCGAGAAAGCGAATTATTAATTATTATTATTATTATTATTTTTATTTTTATTTTTTTTCCCCCGTTTTTATTGCTAAAACGCTGAATATTTATTATATTATATCTGAGTGAGTATACCTGCTGCATACCGGCGACTACTGTTCTCTGCGCCCACTACTTGATTGTTATAAACGATTACGAAAGCGTCGTTGCTCGTTGCTCCTATCTGTAAACGCTCGTCGAGAGCGGACCGTTCGTCATCGCCTCTCATTCGAAACGCTTTTGCGCGTCCAATCCTCGCTGTTCATTGCGTTCGGTGCGTTCTTTTTTTTTTTTTTCCCTTTCTTCGACACGTCACGATCGAATCGTAGATCTGTTTGAATGATATTGTACACGCGATCGGATGTTGCGAGACCTGACTTTTAAATGGATGTTACCGTTACGACGCGTCCATGACCGAGAGAAATCTGTCGATGTTGCGCAAGGAAGACGAACGACAGGTGAACAGCGTTCGTGCCTCGTTCGACTCTGCTAGACGTACGCGAAGCAGTCTCAGTAGCGTTGCTGGAATTCGTGGTGCCATCTGTTGAAATCGATATGGAAGATCACGATCGATCCGTTTGCCAAGCCAGCCAACAAGAATCTGTAACGACATGACGTGTTGAACAATATTGTGATCGACAGTCGGTTTGTTTTATCAACTCGTGGTAACGAAAGATACCGGAACAAACTTTTGAAGTATGTTTCTTCGATTTATGAAAGACGAATCGGGTATTTAATTACTCTTACTTTTGATCGTGCGAAAGTGCCAGAGAACGGACACTGCTTTCGCAAGCTGGGAACGCATAGAGGAGAGCAAGATTGAACGTCCTCCAAACTTCGACGATTCGTTTATCACCACCTGTCATTAAGTACTCGCCGTCCCTGCTTAGAAGTAGACACTGAAAAAGAAATGAAAACACACGATAATTAATATTACTTCGAAAAACTTTGAAAAAGAAGAATAGTATTTGTCTTCAGGTGATACTATAGGGATTTACTTGAAGATTATCGTTATGAGACTCGTGGCGAAGCCGTTTCCCGTTTATAGTGAACGCCGCTATGTGTCCACGCTCGTAATTCACGACGATAACACCTTCTCTTGACATGGCGATATTTTCCGGCAAGGAAAATCCATTCGGCGCTTCCAACGATCTCAGAAGATCGCCAAAGGTCGTGTGCACGAGAACTGGCCCATCTGGGAAGAAAATGTAGATGGAAAATAAATAATATTTCTATTAAAAAAAAAACAATTAAGTTAATTACGTACAATAGGATCCAGAAACGACCAAGCCCAGTTCAGCGGAAATGACAACTGCGGTTACAGGTTGCTCGTGCCCTGTAAGGGTTGCTCTAGGCGCTGGTGCTTCACCCTCGCCGACAATCGTCTGCGTTCTGGCATTCCAGTGCCACAACAAAACGGTGCAATCGGCACTTCCCGACGCTATGTAACAATCAGAAGTGATGTTGCACTCGCTGCGTGACAAACACGTAACGACTCCGTAATGGCCGAACACTATTTGTACAATTTTTGCTAAAAAGAGAAAGATGGTGTTAAACGTAATTCTCTTCGTAATTTTTATTTTCAAATCTGCAAATCTCGTTACCGGTTTCGGTGGAGAATACACGGAAACTGTTGTCCCAGAAACCGCAGGCAACCAAGAATCTACTATCCACAGTGGTGACGAAGCAATTACTTCGTATCTTGAGCTTCTGACTGAAATTGTCGCCCAAGTGGCGACGTAGGGTGGGGTTCGAACTATTCGCTGCTTGAGCTACAATAATCATTAACCGTGATGATCTACTTGTGACAAACTCACAAAAGAAAAGAAACACTCCTCCCATTATTCTTACTTACACAGAACTGGATCCATAGACAATGGCTGATTAGCAGCTTGCGCTTGTGGAGTATCCGCGTAACTCGGCGATTGTACAGATGCTACAAGTCATATCTTCGTGTCAATCGATCAGATCGTTATTTTCGAACGAGAATAAAATTAAATTATTATATTAAATACCCGCGTAATTCGTGTTCCATCTGTTGACAGCGAATTGCTGTCCAGTTGTGACTGTAACGACGGATGGTAAAGGTAGTTGAGGATAAGTGTTTGCCGATATGTGACAAATCGGCGAGTTGGATGGGAACTTGATGGTCATGCAGATGTCGTCTGGGATACTCGAGAACATCATCGGCGACTGCAAAACGGGTGGCAACGTCTTGTCAAACTTTGGGGTAATCTTCTCGTTCGGAATAGATTGAACAGAAAGAAAAGCGTGCATTGTATTTCTCTGTAGGTAAATATTATGGTAACTCGTTCGATGATTTCAGGTTTGGCTTGGTTAGAAATGTAGAAAAGGATGGAATTTAATTATTCTGTTAAATACGGTGTGTTTGCTTTTTTTGATCACTGTTCATAAACATGAAAAGTTCCTTAACGTGAGAAGTTCGTTACAACAGGTAAATTAATATATATAATTAATAATTCTAGATATTAAACAATTGTATTTTACAAACATCGAAGCAAAATACTGTGATTCCTTTTATTCTTACATTCTTAAATTTCTAGATTGATGATTTGTTTTTTTAGTAAAAGCCATGAGTGTAATTGACACATAATGAAACAAAGCGTGTCTAAATTTAAGTTTAAACTAACGAAAATAACATTAAAATATTAGATGATCGTGAGACATATCTGAAATGAAAAATATGTGCATCGATGCAAAGTGTTATTTATAACAAAAAAATAAAAATCACCAAGGCAATTAATTATATATGAAGATTAGTATGATGTGATACGTAAAATTATAAAAGATCTAACTCGATGACTCGTTCTATGGATTAGTATCTATCGTATCTAGAGCTAACAGAATATTTTTAAGTATTCGCATCCTTATTAATTTGTTAATCCAACCCATGTACATCTCCCTTCCCTCCTTTTTCTAAACGGATTACCTACGGATACATTGCACACTCTTCGTATTACACAGCTCTACGAGACGCTAAAAACCATGATTTAACTATCGAAAAGCATGATGTATCGTGACGTGAACATTATTATTTACCAAATGCATCGCCGAGCTTCGCGGGGGGTGTGGTTCCATCAAAAGTTGCGAGGGTGTTTGACCGAAGTTCCGTATTTGATTTTCTATGGCTTCCCTCATAACTGGATCAGTTATCGTATCCAAATCCACGCTACCCTCGTAAGTTAAGTAGTAGAATACATTCGTTGCACGGACCGCTTCCGGACCTGAAAATTTTTTATCATAACAACAAATTTCTCGAATCAATTTATATTACAATCTCCCATTTCTGGACAAAACTTAAAAACAACTCGAGGCTTGATTAATAATTTGCGTACAAGTATAAAGAATATGAAGAAGTAATTTATTCCGTTCTTTGAAAAGAAAAAAATTGAGAGCAAATTAATTTAACATGATCTTCCATTTCTGCGCAAAGCAACTCGAGGCTTGATTAATAATTTGGATATAAGCAGCAAATATCCCTTCGCTAAATCGATCAAGATGCAATTTAATTCGACTTATTCGTCAAAATTTGCGAAACAAAAATCAAATTCGAAATCAATTCGGGCGTAAGATTCGTTAAATTTAATTTTTAACGATTGTCGCAAGACGCTCGATCCCTGAGAGGCGCTGCCGATTGCTCGTGGCCGGTATTTCCGGTTGGCCAACTGTAAACGTGTTGCGTATTAGGGGTGGCGCGCATTGTCGCGGCGTGCACACGTGCCTAATTGGTTGGGACAAGACCGGGAGGAAGCTAACTAAAAACTAATTTCTTCCATACGCGCGGCGAGCGCCGCTCACCGCCTCCTTGCCGTGTTCGGGGAAGCGCCGGATATAGAGGCGCCACCGGCAATTACCATCGGTGGAAATCTAATTTGACTCGACCACGCATGTCCCAACACCCGGCCCTGGCCTACCCTTCGCTCCATTGTGCGGATGCCGTGTCGATTCGGCCGCACAGCTTTACGCGGCAAGATTAATGTCACTGCGGGATTTTCTGCGGCTTTGTAGAGATTTGAATTATGTTCTATGTCTTATCCATCTTCTTTTCTTTTTCTTCGTTCGAATATATATATATATATGCTTGAAGTTATTACTTTTGAATTTATAGCAACCTTCGTAACGTTCGGTTTTAGAGTAATTGAAACATCAGAGGGAGAATGTTTGTGTATTTATTGAAAATTTTGAGCGTAGGAAAATCTGTAGGATACGATGTAAAAAGAAAAAAAGTGGAAAACGTTACGATATTTGAGGAATATTTAAAGATAAATCTGTGATTAAGTCATTTAAGTAGTCTAAGCACGAAGAAAGTTTGTGTGGAAAAGTTTATTATTATTTAGCATTGTAAAAATTTGGATGGATCTTTACCTTTTTGTTTGTAGCCAAATATTAAATCGATCCATTGGTGTAATTGACAGGACACGAACTCCGACTCGAGAGCCTATATAAATTAGAGTTGTAAAAGAAATCGTTGAAAATGTGTTTGTACGAGATACGATGATTACCATTCGATTAATTCGTATAAATTCTTCCGGGGACGACGCCCACGGGGGTAACTCAACGTCGCCGACCACGCTGCCATCTTCTTGTCTGCCCAAGCGATATCGATTGCTGTTCACCAGCATCTCCGGTAGGAAGAAGAACTCTGGAATCAGCTCCTGTAAAAGTAATTCCAAATTATTGAAATAGAATTCTGATTGAAAACATTTTATTAGAAAAATTCGTATTTACGTCGTGAGAAGAGAAACAAACCTTGACGTCCGAGGTGTCGCGTTGGCAATTCTTCCAGGAGAGAGCGATCGAGGAGAACAATCGATTCGGATGATCGAATTTCCCGCCTTGGAGCGCGAGGAACATCGTTGTCATCGGCTCCTGAAACGTTAAAAAATACTCATCGTAATAATATATTTTTATTAACGATGATATCCAAAATTCCACTCGGATATTTAAATTTTAATCGAATATCAAACGCAGCAAAAACTTTATTCGATCAAAAATTTTTTCGAGATAAATAAAGAAAATTTCTGAAAAACGCAAAAAATTCCAAATATCTTTCCAAAACGCGCGGCAAAACAAAAAATGCTTAAACCATCGCGCCGGATAGACTACCGTCAATGAGAGGTTGCCTATGTTGTTATATGGTTTCGCGCCCAAAGTCCTATCCGTCAGTCGTCCATTCACACTGACAGCCTGATGAATGTTAACAGAGGACCCCCCTGCGAGGACGCCGCGAGATTCACGCGTAGGCGTCGAAGATACGGGCCGTGATTTACAGCTGTTGTCGACGAGCGAGATTTTCGACAAGTTTTGCCTCCAACGTTTACAATGATCGAAGAAACGAGCGGTTCCAGCCTCGAAAGCTGTGGCTGCATCTCGATGCTCGTGGAAACCGAGGCCCCGAACCGACAAGAAGCGATGCAGTTATAAAGCAATAAATTGTTTACGATGCGGTGTATCCTTGGATGGAACAGCAGGGCGCCTCGCCAGTGAAACAACAGTAAAATCGCTTATCGACGATTTGTATGTAAATGGTTGGAAATCGTGGTTGCCTGTGCGGACCTTCGTCATTTACGCGAGATTTGATCGCTGTCGAGTATGTCGCGAGCTAACGCGCGCAATAACTATCACACGAAGTGGATTGTATGTATAGAACACTGGAAATAGTTATAAACGAAATTACGATGGTAAATATGGATATTTTCATTTGTTTCTTTCATTTATTTATTTATTTATTTATTTATTTTCTTATTTTACTGCTTATACCACTCGAGGTCATTATAATAATAAAGAAGTTGTTTTACTTTTTTGGTTGTAATTGGTTTGGAGAAAAATTAAGGGAATAAATTAGTAAGGGATAATATTTTTGAATGAATTTTCGAAAGAGAAGATATATACGTATATTTAACCGGGAGGCGGGCTAGAGGGCGTTCCAACGCCTCCAAATTAGTGTGTGGATGTGCTACTGGACGCGCGTGGTTGGAAATTTACGATTCCGGACTGGACAAGTTTCCGAAATAGAATACGAGAATCGATGATCTCGTTGAGATATCTTGTGTGTTGAATGTTTGTTCGATCGGGTAAACTCGAGATCTATTTACAAAATATCGAATTAAAGCTGTAACTTTATGAGATTTGTTAAGAGAATTTTACACGTGTAGGATAAGTGTCGTTTAAAATAGGCGTTAGTGTGAGAAACAGTAGTGGTGAGAAATAATGATAACAGTAGGACTAAAAATAATATATTATAACAACTTACCACGCGTATCATCCAGTTCAGGACAAAAGCAGCTGTAGAATAATGCGTGCCGTAGTGGAACGGCGGTATACTGTCGTGCTCCCAACTTTGAAAGCGTTCCTCGAAGTAAGCTCTTCTGCTTGGGTTCAACGCGCCAATTGGCTGGAAAAAAAAAAGAATACGAGAAAATTTAATTCACGATTGCAGGCATCATATATCCCCATAATATATGTGTGTTTCGTACCTTTGATAAATCACGATAGTTGCTAGGCAGACTGAGATCGAGCTCCTTCGTCTCGTAATTAGTCAACACCCAAGGGAACACCGGATACTGGTTCAAATCGTTGTAAGTTCGTCCTGAAACGTAAAACTCGTATTTAACTTATCTATCCCCTTGCTCCAAATTAATTACTAAATTAATCTAACCGTACCAAAATTTTCCTACAAAAGCGATCTTAAAGTGATAGAAAAGATGCGTGTTGTAACATCGAACCACCATTTTTCCTGCCTTCACATAATAAACAAGCTAATACAAATCCAAACGCAAAGAAACGATAATAATAAACCTGCTGCTAAATGATTTAAACATCGATTCACGATCACAGAGATCCACCCCATTCGGCAAAAACCGAAATTCTTCGTTTAAACGGTGCCAAAAATAAACAAGGCGTCGTTGGTCCCTTCCTTTTAACGCGCATAATCACCGGCCTAATTTTTTTGTCTCGGTCACTCTTCTTTCCTCGAGCGCCACCCTCGCGCCATAACGAACGATAAAAAGAGAAGGATGGAGTAGAATGGATGCATACATTCTCCCTCTCTAATTCTATTTTTACGAAATGCATGGGACGGTTCGGCTCATTGGGGTAGGAGGTGCTCCGTTTAGTAAGCGCATAACTCAGGCCGTGACGGCTAATCGTTCCTGAAATTGTCACTTCTGGAGAGGCCTCGCTCTTCCACCCCCTCCTCTTAGAATCCCGTTCCAAGATGCATTAGTGACGGCAGCGCGGCTGCAAGCTTGACTTCGTCTAATCTCCTCCCCTGTCGCTAATTAAAACCCGTCAGCAAGTTTGTCAGGCGAGGTCTACTATCACCCCCTCGCCTCTTCGTGTCGGATCGTTTACAAACGTTTAATTCGCGCTACTTCGTCCTTTTTTCTTTTTTTTTTTTTGGTCTTGGTCTTGGTCTTGGCTTGTCGACATCCGCGGCGTCAAGATTACCTTCCTCGTCGATCAGAATTATTTTGTTATTACTTCTCTTCTTTCCATTTAATACGCATGTTTTCGGAAGTATAAAGAGAAATATAGTATAATACATGTGTACTATAGATCGAGGATATAGGCGAAATTGTAGGGATTAAAGCTAAAATTACTTCAATAAGTTTAGTTGAATAATATTGTTGTAAACCATCGAATAACTGCAATTAACTAAAGTTTTTACGTACGATAAAGATACAGAAAAGAAAACTTCGAATCTAAATTTAGAGTTGAACATTGGCCCATTCGTTTCCAATCTCTTCCAATCAATCGAGGATTGATACTTTTTTCTTTTAATTCAACTCAAGTGAAAAGAATAATCTTAATCTGTGGGATTATCTCAAACGCGTCATTCCAACGATATACAAGAATAATTAGAATTCAAAGAGAGAATTCCTAAGAGCTCCATCGCGAGTGCTCGAGAGCAAAAGGAACGAAAAGTGGAAGGAAGGAAGGAAGGAAGGAGAGAGACTCGTCGGCGGAGTCGGCGCGCACAAGCCTCGGCTACAATGCGTCGTAAATCGTGACGCTGCACGACCGTCGGTCGGACGTAAATAATAGTAAGGCCGTTATGCATCAAAGTGATTATTAATGGTAGCGTCGCGGTGAGTGAGCGCTCTCAGAACTCTTCCCGACACCGGAATGCCCGCGACACGCGCGCCCTCCTCCTCCCCGCCGCCCTTAGCCCTTGCTTTTTTACCTAACCCTCCGCCAACGGGACAACGTTATAATAAGTGGTGGCCGCGGCGACGAGAGTGCCTCGTTTTTAACTCGCCACTCGTCGCGTGATTTAAAGGGGCGCGCGGATCCCCGGGAGAAAAATTGGCAGGAAGTCTTGCGAAATGTTTTCCAATCTTAAAACTACTCGACTCGTTGCGTCTGATTTGCGTCCGAGGATACGAGTCTTTTATTTAGGAAGTATTTAAGATTCGATTCGTGGAGCGAGTAAATATTTCTGATTTTCTTGCAGAATGATACTATAAATATTGGCGTATAGTTCGGCTCCTTCATCATGGAAATTGTTTATTAATTTTTTTTTTAAATATCGTAGAATAGTATAGAAATTGAGATGTAAGAGTACAAGTAAGCAAAAAGTATGCTTTTTAATTATGTGTAATTATGTGTAGATCGTAAATATTTTTATTCGTTTACTTTACCAGAACACGAGAATCTTTGTAAGGAACTGCAATACTGCAATTCAATAACTATAAGAATCGGTACATTGCGGTTATTCGAAGAACGTTCTCTCGTCGGCGGACAACAAATCGGCGATTAAAACAAGTATAAATACCGTGAACATAAACGGAAAGTAGGTACAATCCTCGAGAAACCTGAAACCTTCGAACATGCATTCCACCAACGTGAACGTTCCTTACTTCCAATGCAAAATATAAACGATACAATCGTAACTGCCTATTGTTCGATCGAGACCCAAGGAATATATATTCTCAGACCGATGGAAAAAAATAAAGAAAATACTTTACGTACTTATTTATTTTCTAAAGTATGAATATATGAATTAGAAATATAAAATATATTCCTTCGATAAAAAAAACTTTCTTTTCCTTCGTTTGTCGCGTACAAAAATCAGTCAAAATAATTTAAATCTCGAAAACTAGAAATTCTTCTTTACAGAATCGTATCATCAAAAATTCTGCTCATACACGAAATATATCAATCAAAATAATTCAAACCTTTCGCTATATCACTCGTAAATCTCAGAAACTAAAAACTTCTTCACTATCTTTTCTCCCAAAAGCCCCTCCCACTTCAAGATCCCCCGCAATACCTCCGCCTAACCTCGTATTATCCAACGCCCTTATTAACTCTCTTCTCATCTGCACGATTAAAAAAAGAAAGAAAGAAAGAAAGGAGAAAAAAAAAAATTCTGAAGCGAAAACAATTAATTAAAGAAACTCTCCCCATCGGAAAGAACGCCGATGGACCCGGTGGCGGCGTTGCGTACATCCACGCGAACCGGCTCGCATCAGGACACGCAGCCTATCATATTTACATCGGCCCTACTGTCATTAATTTTTAATAAACCGATGCGACCGAGAGCAAATAAACAAGCGATGCGGGAGCCTGAGGACCGGTTCGTTTTCGCAACGTGTACCCCCGCCGGGCCTTGCCCAATTGCGTCCTCCTCCGCCTCCTCCTCGTCCTCATCGCTGCACCCCGTCTACGATCTATTTATTCCCCCAATTAATATATAACGCTCGTAAATACACCTGGATATATACACGCCGGAGGCGTATATAGCGGTGCCTCTCGTCGATCCATGCGAATAATTACGTGTCTTACACAATTTTGCAATCGTGGATCACTGTATTTCTGTATGCGATAATTCGTGATCGAGATTATGGAGATTAGTTTATCAGGGATCATTTTTTTTTTTTGAGGCGAGATTGGAATGGATTTGGAAATAAGAATATTTGGAAGATCTTCCTATGCATGTACGAGGATAAAATCGGTATCCTGGAATTTGAAACTTTTTTTTAAACTATTGTATAATTTGTAAATAAATTCGAAAGTATTTAGAGAATTGGATAAATCATCTCTTCCTTTTCTTTAACCAATTAATTAATTGCACAGAAATCCAATTCCTCCAATTATATACGGATACTTTTTCACCCCTAAATACGACAATATCCTCAGGCTATTCCACCCTTGTCGAAACACCAAACACCGCATCACGCCCTCTGCAACGTTTCTATAATCCATCGAAACGGCCGATCAATGTGATCCAATAATAAAAAAAAAAAAAAAGAAAAGAAAGTAAAGAAAAGAAGGTGAGGGGGTCCAACGTCTCGAGTTTCGTGATTTAGGCCGCGATTCGAGCGCACAAAAGGGGCGGTCGATATTAAACCGACGAAGAAACAAAGGTACGGACTCTCATTCCGCGTGGGGAAGAGAGCGAGGAACGAGGACGGTCCCTCGGGAGAGGATTACCGGGGCCCACGAGACGGGGATTACTACGTATGGGGTGGCTAACGGAACACCGAGCTGATTGAGAACATCCCTAATACGCCGCGACAGATTCCATCCGGCCGTGTGCAGCCATAGATGTTCCCCTCTCGCTCTGCCCCGTCTTCGGCCATCGTCTGTCTCGTTCTAGCTCGCTTCGTAACGCGGCGACGATCGACCATCCGCAGACATCGCATTTTCTTTCCGCAAATCGTAAGCCGATATGATTTTTTACGTACGTTCCCCTTTTGAACATCGTTATCGGGTCGAAGAGAAAATATGGAAGGTACCATTTTGAAGCTATCGAATGGGGTGGTTAAATATTTATAAGTTGTTTCTTTTTGTTATTAATAGGAAGAGGATATGTCTATATAAGATATTGAATATTGGTGGAAATTGCGATGATTTTATAATAAAGAATATAGGATTATAGATGGGAGTGTATGATATTGATAAATAAATTTGGAAATGAATATGCTTTGAATGATATATTATATTATAAAATTCTTTGTAAAGAAATTAGTTTTGCTTTCACGATAAGAGATATATGGAATACGAATTTTTTTTATCTTAAATCTAATCTCTTGATTTAAAATCGATAAGTGAAAAAGATTGAAACGAATTTTTACTTACCAGCAATGGTATTCAAGAACATGAGATACTCGAAATTCGATATTTCTCTTCGTTGCCATTTCTGCGTCATATTGGAGCTTCTCATTAATTGTCTGGGCGACATCATTGACGCTCTCCTGCAAGAATAACGTTTATGTCGATTCATCTTATTAAAAGAGTCATGTGTTGATCGTGCCAATTCTTGCGATTAATTCTACTAACAATAATTTTGAATCAAATCATCAACGACGCGTTATTGTCCTGGCAATTGTTATTCATCTAGTCATCATTGCAAATGATGTCAAGATCGATATATAACAATTTACTTACGATTTCAACGTTGATACGACGGATAAATTAATATCTGTTCTTATATAGGATTTCATCGATTCATCGAAATTGCAAATATACGATTGACACTATTCACTCGTTTCTCAATATTCGATTTGGGGATTATTATATCTATTAATAAATATTTTTTATGATCAATTTATTCATAAATCATATCGTTTAACACGAGTAAATATCGAGTGTTGATTGTAATCACGATATCATTAAAGATGCATATTAACAAGAATGAATTTTAATTCTCAAGAATTATTTGTAAATAATCTTCATAAATTTGGATTACGAATGTACATTTAAATTTTTTCCCTTATTTAAAATTTAATAATCTCTCGTTTCGTTTATTCACATTTTCAATGTTTCATATGCGTATTTTTAGTTTCATACAATCCACAATTTCTTTCTAAATTATTCGTATCGATACAAAGACACGGTGACATCGACAATTGCAATCAAGTCTTATGAAGCAATTGTGAGGAAAATCGATATCAATTCAACGAAAGCTGTTACATCAGGCCTGCTGCTTTACGTTCGCGCCATAAAATTCAGGGAGCGCGTTTTACGAACACGGGCATCGCTGATTTAGGATTTATACGAGAGACATTAATGGACGATATACAGTGGATGACATTAAAGGAGGAAACCATCTGACCGTAGCCGGATGTATAAATTCTGGCGTTGCGTGCATCGTCAACAAATCTCGCGGAACCATGAAAATTTTTCTTCATCTAACGTAGAATAATGAATCGCATCGCTTAATCAAAAAATTTCAAAAATCTACTTTCTCAAAAATCTATCAGCTCTACTTACAATTTCTCAAATTAAGAAAATTCCAATTACTCATATTGCGAATAAAAATTTTCTTCTTATTTTCGATCATGGAAACGCGTTTTTCAGTTCTAATTTTTCAATCAACAACTTTCGAACTAAAAGAATTCCGATTATCCAAAAATAAAAATTCTCATCTATCTTTTCTCTCACGATCTCTCTCTCTCTCTCTCTCTCTCCTTTTTCTTCGTCACGCGATTTTTCGAATGGAAAACGCATTTATTTCTCGAGAACTCGAGCGTGGTACAGCGTCACGACGCGAATGCGCGTCTTATATACCGGCGGATTATTTTTGTTGGTCAGGAATCTCCCTCGGATCAGACGTCCGACTCGGCCTCCGTATATTTATGGCCGTCGTATCCTTCTCGTCGGCTCTCTTTCCCTCCTCCCTATTTCACTCTGCCCTCTGTGTATAGGAACATTTTAATGGATGGATCGAAGCGCGGATACGCGAACCTCTGTTCTCGCCGCCCTGTCCTCCTCTCGAAACTTGCGAGGGTATTGGTATCGGGAGTGGATGCTCTACCATTCTTCGCTCCCGTGAGAGACGCTCGATGAGAATCCCAGAATCCGTGACCACTTCGACGAATCGACCTCGCTCTGTCGATTTTAATCAACCGTTCCAGTTGTCGGTTATAACAAAATTTACAACGAGTATTGGATTGAAACGTTACCAGTTAGCCTGAATATTCGAATACTCGCTTTATTTAACCAAATTCGTTTCGTCTGACGCGGAACATTCTATCGGTTGAAAAATTGGAAATATTTCTGCAATAGTGAAATAGCATAAGTGAATACGAATAGAATAGAAAGATCGAGTATTTCAACGATTAAGGCAAAGCTTCGTTTCTTAAAATAAAATAGAAGAAACCATTGACATCTGGGGACGTTGATTCAATCGATATCCGGTCTAGATCAAAGATTTCTCAATATTCTTATCCACTGATCATCCACTCGCATTCATCCCGAGCATTTCGTCGAGAAGAAAGGATCGTAAAGATCCTGAGGGCACGGATCGCGAGCGGAATCCCGGCACAAAGAAATAAGAGCGTGCCCTCCGCTCCTCCGAGTTGTCGTCTCTCCGCCCGTTTCCTTACCTAGTCTGCGGAATCCCGTATTTGATGCCAACGCCGACCCGCGGTAGCGCCTTGATCACCTTTTTCACCGTCGCCTGGTCCGGGAACGCGAACAGGATCGAGGCTGCGGGCAAAAAGGCGTTAAAGTGCGGATTATAAGCGGTGCCAATCCACGGTTGACGGGCCGTGTGTCAATCGTGGAAGGATGGCGGGCAAGGACGCCGTTTCTTGCACGCATCGCTCTGGCGGGGATCGTTCTTGTGTTCAAGGAGGGGGATGGCTCATAAGGAACTCGGTCCGCCGAGTGTCGTTGGCTGATTGCTTTCTGGTGAAACGAGGCAGTGATGGATCTTTGGAGCTAACCCTTTCGCTACTACTATAGTCTGCATTATTCGAGTTATTGCACATCTTTCTCTGGAAACGTAGCATCGATATTTTCTTTCTTCAATGAACAGGGCAACTCGAATCGTGAAGCATAAACGCGGCCTCTGACGATCTTTCTCGAGCGCATTTTTGGTAGCGAAAGAGTTAAGGAGAGAGTGGAGCGAGTCATAGTGGGATTGGAAAAGGAAAGAACGCGAAATTTATTTCGTTATTGCACATGTATCACTTTAAGTATTATTTCGATGTGTTCTGGAAACCGCGAGTTCAATATTACTATCTAAGACTAGATTAAAAGTCTAAGAGTTCTATTGTCTCTCATTGTATAAAATATTCGTATTAATTATCGGGTAAGATTTCTCTATATTGATAATATATGGAATATATTTATCACTTCGTTGGCGAAGTGTAATAGAAATTATAAAATCGTACGAACGTACAAAATGTTTAATTCCTTTTCAAACGAATGACAAAGAATATTCATAGGTGTGCTTGTTTCCTTCGGTCGAAAAGATCCTATTTCACCGTGTCATAAATTGGACAAATCCACTTACGTGGGTATACTATACGTTGCATACTATATTTCTGTCGAATCGCAGAGAATAATTCATCGAAACGTGGAGCACGGTTTAGAACGCATTTAGAAACGTGGTTGGGCTCGATGTGAAAATATGAAAAGGGGCGGGAGGGGGTAACGCGATGGACTTAATTTCACGGCTTTAATAGCATCGCCGAGACTCCCTCGAGAGTTCAAAGGGTGGCGTGCGAAGAGACAGTTACCATAAATACTTGCCGGTAATTTATGTAACTTCGAATATAAAGGACCGGGGGTTACACGGAGTCGGTCTTAATCAACGAAGAAGTATAATAAAAGGCACGATCACGCGGAGAGAAGCGCGAAATCAAAGAATTCCCTGACCCCGTTTCTTGGTTATATATGAATAGCCGGGGCTCCTTTCGTGGGTCTTCTAACTTCTGGTTCTCGGTACGCGGTCGTTCCGCGAATTAACGTGTTCCGACAAATGGATACGTCTCGAGGCGTGCGTCTCCTCCTCTCGTAAAGGAAAATAGTGAATGGAGAGAAATTTACACCATGGTTGTTATGGAATATATACGGTGTATACGAAAGGTGTATTCAAAACGTTGAACGCGTTTATTAAACGGCACGTTTTTTACGATGACATGACCATGAACGTTATTAATGCGAATGTTATCCTTACGGTGGATTAATTAAAATTAATTTTACTAAATCGGATTGCAACCCTTTCTTTCGAATTTCCAACATCCAATGAGACGAGTAGAAATACTTTTGAAATAAAAGTATGAACTTTTGAAACGAAAGTGAAAATTTAATAATATAATAATTAATTGAAAATTGTAGATGATGTTAATAATAAATGGCGCGACACGATCCAATCTCAGATTCGTTAACGTACATGTGAGTAAGTTTCCGCTCATTTTTCTAACGAACTACGACTGTGTGAACCAGCACACGAATGATATTCCGTCGGTTGATCGAAAGTTAAAGGGTTGGGGGGATATCAGATTAGAATCGGAGGATGTCCAGAGATGAAATTTATCTGCGGCCAGGAGAAAAATAATCAGCGGGATTGCGGGCCCGGCCGAGGTCTCAGGTATACGGACAATTTCCTACAGCGCGTTTGTTCGAAATACGCGCATTACCAACCAACGAGCCCTACGATTCCAGGGAACGACAACTATATTTCAAGGGGAACGCCACGATGTTACGCCATCCTCGTGGAATGTTTTAACACCTCGCTATGAAATCGAGATAACGAAGGCCTCTCCTATCCCGCGCGTGTGATATTTCTCCTTTTGTTTCTCAGATGCCGGATTTGCTTTCTCACGTGAACAACCTGGCTAAAGAATTTTAATTATTTCTAAGCTTAATAAGCTTCGATAAATTCTATCCGAATATTTTCTATTAAATGATGAACTCGATAAGTGAGATTATCGTGAATTTTTTAAAAATCTTCGAAAAACTGACTACTGCAGCGTCGTAACAAACTCGAGAGATTTTATGCATTTTCATTTCGAGGAAGAGTATTGAAGAGAATGGAAAGGGGCAGCAGGTGGCACGCAGGGATTGGTTGATAAATCGGCGGTGAAAAAACGGATACCGTAACGCCGGTCCAAATATTTATCGCGTAAAAAAGCAGAGAGGGTCGCACACCTCGCGACGAGCTCCGGATTCCATTTCCATTTTGCCGGATTAGATCACGCCGTGTGAAATAACGCACGGGTCAGCCGTGAGGAAGAAGCAAGAAACGGAATGCGCGCCCCTTTTCTGCAAAGGGGCCGCCGCCCCCTTTGAGAGAACGAACGAGGCGAATCGCACGACTTACTTCGGCTGGCCAGGAATATCTCGATGGCGACGTTCTGGAGCAGATATCGCCTCGAGAATATCGCGCGCACCTCCGAGAAGTACCATTTTCCGTGCAGATGATCGCAGTACTTGAGCACCTGGAACAAAAATAAAGAAATTTTTATCAGATTCGATGTAAGAATTGTATTAATACATAATGTTATTTGAGAGACAAAGATTGGAGTTGGAATTATTTGAAATGCGAATGATATTGTCAGATATTTTAAACTATAAATTAGAATTATCGAAAGGATGATCATGACATTTGTTTGAAATAAGTTTGAGTAAATGGAAAATGGACGAACGAATGAATTGTTATTTTTTTCTTAAATGCTATTAGAGTGCTAATAATATGTGTACTTTTCTTTTCAAACAGTTCAAATAATATTTGCATAATTTATTGTTTACTTAAAAGGGTAAAGATACGTGTTTGAATATTTTTATTAAATTTATACATCTTATTAGGGGATTGAACGAAATAATGAATCATTTTTAACATATATACTCGTGTTATAATTCGCTGCAAAGATAAGCAGTTTAGTGCTCATGTTTCAAGAGCCGGTTCTATCTATACGAAAAATATTCATCAAAGGAAGCTATTTTTTATGAAATTATCTCAACCGTAAATCCTCTAATGAGAACATAAATAAATTATACTTTAATTTCTTTTCTTTCTTCAAATTCTCACAGAAGATTTCTTTCGATAATTACAACGTTAATTTAATTTAAAACATGACGAATCAACAACTCTCTACAATACCTTGAATCTCGATTATAATAATTCCATGCATACGTTATCGATCGATCGTTACTTTCTTTGCAAATCGAAAAACATTCCTCCCCAAAATTTCTCATCGTCAACCCTCTGCAATTCTCCAAACGAAACCGAAAATCAATCACCAAATCTCATCATCAAAAATCCTTTAACCACCACCACCACCACCACCATCACCATCATCATTAAATTTCTTCAGAAATCATCTAAATCCCATCATACCGCGTCATCGCACGATCCAAAATTTTTCCAATTAAACGAGAATCTCCAAGCCTAAATCTCTCCCCTCCCCAAAATACTCATCATCGTTATACTCGCATCGAAGAGGGACAAAAGCCGGGGTGCGATCGCATGGCTGACCGTAAGTATGCAAGCTGGATTCAGTGAAGTGTGATGTGATATAGTGAGACCGGTGCCGGTCGCAAGATGGCCGTCATAGTAGGAGGAGCCTCCTGCTGAGCCGAGAATCGATCCAGGACTTCGCGGGCTTGCGCTCTCGAACGAGTCGTGAACAAGTCTCGTGGGCGAAAAAAAAAAAAACAGAGGGAGGAGGGGAGAGAAAGAAAGGAGGGTCTCCTTGTGACGGAGCCCAAAGGTGGACAGAGAGAAAAAGCAATTTACCTCTGGCCACGGCTAACGGCCGTCTTTCAATTTTTCCCGCTTTAACGAGCGCCGCCACTATGTCCTCACGCGCGGCAAATGAAATTATCCTCGATACAACGCTTCGCGGTCAACCGCTCCATAGCGAGGAGGAGATCGTATCGTCGTCGTTGGATGATTCGACGTTCCTTGTTTTTCGATTATATAAGAAAGGAATATCGCCAAGTTGAAAATTAACGTTGAAAAAATTGCAAGATTTTTTTGTGTAAGAGTTTAAGTTTAACTGAAAGTCGAAGTAAATTTGGAATAAATTATCGGCTGGTGATTAAAATTAATGCTGAGAATCGGAAGATATCGTATGATGGATATTGAAAGATTTGCTGATAGTTTAAGTTTGAGAGGGAATTTTTGGGACGAATTATTGGATGATTGGAAGATTTTAATATGTGTGGATGATTTGTTGAGATTAAAGAAATTTCTTAAATATAAATGAAGAAATTGAAAGTAGTTGATACAGAAATAATAATGTAAATTCTTCGAAGGAAAATAAAGTTAGCGATTATTAGAAACTAAATATCGATTCCAGAATTTTCAAGGATTAAATAGCATCTAGATATTAATACCAGTATTTTAATGAGTGAAACGTATTAAGCAAGCAAATAAATTTCTACGACGAGCGGAGAAGAATCGTCCCTACGAGACGAAATGGCATTAGGGTGCAGGACACGCGCATCAAAATCTAATTACAAGCGTATAAGCAGCTTGAAAAACCTCTGGGGATCATAAACATCGCGTCCTGTTTGTATTAATAAATCATCAAAAAAGACTTCATAATTTTCTCTTTCCTCGTAATATTCTTATCATGGATTATCATGGTGACAATTTTTAAAAAATAATGAATCATTTGTATTCAAGGATCATTCAAGTATTTTTCAAATATTTTTCGCGAAATGGAAATGGAAAAATCGTTACGATAATTATTATGACACCGCAATTTTATTATAAAATAAATATTATAAGAAATTTACGATACGTCGATTCAACTAAATTTTAAGTTAAATATCATAGATAGGTAGAAATTGCATCGCAGCGGAATCCACTCGATTCCATGCGCGAGATTGAAAAAAAGGAGAGTCGGGGGGTGGTTGCACAGAGCCAACCCCTAAGAACGATTGCGCACGCTCTTCGTAAACACTGTCTGAAACCGATAAGGTGTGTCGTGATACGGAATTCATTATTCGGATGATCGCAATCTGAATACACGCACACATCCTATTATATCATTCCTTGGACGAATCTTAATTCATTTTCATTTACACGATATAACATTCCACAAATTCTATGAACAATTAAGTTCACAATTAAAATTCTAACAAACTATATCAAAATCTGCACTGATTTACAAGAAAACTTAGAGATAAAAAGTCGCTAATAGAATTGCATTTACATAAACTTGACAACGAACAAACACTCTCTATAATTGGATAAATTCGTTAATAAATATTCACTTCAATTTCTTCTTCTTCATTCATTCAAATAATCAAAATTCAAACGAATAGCTTCGCGAAAATTTCATCAAATGGATCAAAGTGACAAAATCAACCTCCTATGAACCTCCCTCCCATCGCACCTTCTCCAAACACCTACCAAAAGTAAGCAAAAAGGCCCCCCTCCTCTCAAAAAACTATCATCCATCTAAACCACTCTTTCTCTCCCAAAATTTGACCAAAAGGCGAGTCGTTAAAATAACACAGACACCCCTCCTCAACGGAGTGTTATACCAGTCTCGCTCGCAAAGACTAATATGTTTACACGTTCGATGATGCGTCCATTCGAGAAAAAGGGAGAGAAGAAAGAGAGAGAAGGGAATGGTTAAAAAGAGCTGTGCATCTCTGGCAGAGTGTCAAGTGGTGCGCGCCGATTAGCGTTCCCTGTGCGGCGTTCATCTCTCAACGAAATCGTACGCCAGCGACAATGGGCTCGGTGATGTAACGACATGTGTCGCGTTCACAAGGCACCCCTCCCCTCCTCCACGTACGCCATAGGGCACCGCTATATAGAATGGGGGCTACCACTTAGCAGGCCGCCGCTATACAACAAACAGATTAAGCAGCGGACAATAATAGACCCCCCGTCCTCCTCGGGTATCGTGGGCTCTCGAGCACCCTCCCGTGATCCTCGTGGCGCGAGAACCACTCGAGAAATCACGATACCTAGTAGTAGTAGCTCGAGAGGAGTGGATGGTGGTTTATTCGATTCTCGGTGAAGGAAGGAGCCCGAGTGGCTCGATCATTAATTATCCGCACCGGTGGAGGGGAGACGAGGGTTGGATAGAGCGCGTTTTGTTTGGACCTCGTTTTGAAAAGTTATCACTTCGGGGATGGATATGTTTTTGTTTTGGGAAGAGAAATTTCGGGCTTGGATCGGGTTTAGGAAGATTTGGGGGCGAGGGGCGTGTGTTTGGATTCGTGGATTTGGATCGGAATCCGTGGTTGTTCCATGTTGTTTATTTACTCTTGTTTGGTATTTTGTAAAAGATGTTAAATCCGTATTATAGGAAACAAGAGATTTCAGATTTCAAGCCTGATACTTAACGACTTTTATTTATTTTTTAATTGGAACTGTGGATGGACAAGATTTAATAATTGAATAACTACAAACGGCCTTACATGAAGAATGGATCAATTGTAATAGCTAGCTAATATTAACTAGCTAAATTATTTAAAGTAATTTTATTCCAATTTTATTTTTTCTATGATTAATTGTGTCTGTGTTCGATTTATTATTTATTCTAATATATATATATATTAGATTAATTCACGAAATATGAAAATTATTCAATAACACGGCAATAACTATTTCGTGTCGTGAAATTTCGAAAAAACGTTGTCTCCCTTCGACCCTCGTTTCGTGAACGCGCCGGATGATGCGTCGAAAACGTTCGAGAAGCATCAAGACGATCCGCAATGAGTTATGCGCGCCACGTGCGTGTTCTCATACCTTTATTACCGTATCTCGCACGAGATAACGCATCGCGCGGCATCCTGCGGGCAAAGGGCTCCAAGGGTGATGCAACCAGTCTTCCTGCCCCTAATAAATCTAGAATTGCTACCAGTCGGACTATAGCAACCGCGAATACAATTCTCGAAGGGAAAAAGTACTTACTCGAATCTTTCAATCATTTGTGCAAAAGGACAAATTGAATTTTCCAATTGGATTTTCTTACTATTGTTATTGGTTTTTGAATTGTATGTGAAAGATTAATAAAAAATTTAAACTTATTATAATTTACAACTTTCGAAACGTTTTATTTGCTATGACTAATGAATGATTGTTGCGATTTCTCAGAAAATTATATACGTAATAAAATTTATACATCTACTTTAATCGACAGTCGGAGAATTTCAATGAAATTGTAAAAAGCAAAGCAAACCTTCATTTGAAGAAGGTTATCGAATAACAAAACGATCAATTAACATGACATGTGGACAGTAAATCTAATTATTTTCAATGAAAATACATTAATTTATCGATAGTTTATTGAAGAAGCTTGATTCGTGAGAATTTTTCCGAGTATTGGAGACGGAATGCGGATCCTTGCCTCGTTGTTAGCTTCGATGAAAATAATTGGACGGAACGAGTCAAGCTAATGACGCTCGAATACGGTGAACAACATTTCTTCGTCGATCTATATGTGGAAGCGTGAGGATATTACGAAACAAC